GGTAAAAATGAATAAAAATGAATAAAAATGATTAAAAATTGATAAAAATGAATAAAAATGAACCAAATTGGAGCCGGGCCTGGGCTCCGGGAGCGGCGGGAAAAGAGCGGGAACCGGGAAAGGGCCGGGAAATGGGGAAAAATGGGGGAAAAATGGGAAAATGGGGAAAAAAAGGGGAAAAAATGAGAAAAGAAAAGGAGAAAAATGGGGGAAAGGAGGGAAAATGAGGAAAAAAGGGGGGAAATGTGAAAAAATGGGAGAAGTGAGAAAAGGAGGAGGAAAAATGGGAAAAAAAGGAGAATAAATGGGAAAAAAGGAGAATAAATGGGGAAAAAGAGGAGAATAAGTGAGATAAAGGAGAAAAAAGGATGGAAAATGTGAATAAAAGAGAAAAAATGAGGGAAAACGGAGGAAAAATGAGAAGAAAAGGAGAATAATGAGAAAAAGGGAGAATAAATTGTAAAAATGGGAATAAACGAGGAAAATAAAGGAGAAAAAATGGAGGAAAAATGAGGAAAAACTGGGGGAAAATGGGGGGAAATGGGGAAAAAATGGGGGGAAAATGGGGGAAAAATGAAAATAAAAGGAAAAAATGGGGGAAAAATGGGGGAAAAAATGGAAATAAAGGGAAAAATGGGGAAAAAAGGAGAGCAGGGAGCCAAGGCCAGGGCGGGCGAGGTTTAGTGCGGAAGCGGTAATTGCCAAAATTCAGATTTTAGTGCCTCAAAGCCTTTATGGGCTTGTCTAGACTGGGGCCTTTGTCCCGCGGCTTTCCGGGCTTTTAACCCCAAAATTCACCGCGAAACGCTCGGGAAAAACGGGATTGGGGGATTTGGGGGATTTGGGGGATTTGGGGGATTTCGGGGTTTTATTTGGCTTTATTTTGGGTTGGGGTTTTTAATTTTTTAGGGATTTTTTTTTTTGTTTTATTTTGGTTTTTCTGTGAATTTTTTTCCTTTTTTTTTTTTTCACGACTTTATTTGGCTTTTTAAGCTTATTTTGGTTTTTAAAAAATATTTAATTTTTTGCTTTTTATGCTTTATTTTTTGCCTTTTTTCCTCCCGTTTTTGCTTTATTTTTGCTTTCAAAAAAAATATCCATTTTTGCTTCTCTTACCTTTTTCTTCCTCTATTTTCCTTTTTTCTGCTCTTCATTTCTTCACCTTTTTTTGACCTTTTTAAAGATTTGTTTTTACTGTTTCGGGCTTTATTTTGCTCATTTCGGGCGGGTTCTTTTCCACCCCCCCAGGCCTCGAATCCGCCTCTGATCTTCGGCTTTTTATTTTCATTTTCCCCCTTCCAAAAATGGGCTGAAAAATGCAGATTTTTGCAGGTTTTGGGCCTGGCAGAAGCGGCAAAAAGGGAAAGAGAAATAAAAATAAAGAGAAATAAAGAGAAATAGAGAGAAATAAATAAAAATAGAGAGAAATAGAGAGAAATAAATAGAAATAAATAGAAATAGAGAGAAATACAGAGAAATAAAGAGAAATAGAGAGAAATAGAGAGAAATAGAGAGAAATAAATAGAAATAAATAGAAATAGAGAGAAATAAAGAGAAATAAATAGAAATAAAGAGAAATAGAGAGAAATAAATAGAAATAAAGAGAAATAAATAGAAATAAAGAGAAATAATGAGAAATAAAGAGAAATAAATAGAAATAAAGAGAAATAATGAGAAATAAAGAGAAATAAAAAGAAATAAAATTACTTTTCCCCACTTTAATCAGATCCATCCCGGCCTGGTCCCTCCGAGCTCTCGCACGGAATAATTTGGATTTAATTTGGGTTTAATTTGGGTTTAATTGCGATTTAATTGGGATTTAATTGCGATGGGCGCGAACCCCGAGGATTTTTGTGGTTTTTTTCCCCTCCGGTTTTCGCTCCCATAAAATCCGAGGCCGCATCGGGGGGTTCGGGGTTGGGTTTTTGGGTTTTTTTGGGGCTTTTTGGGGGTTTTTTGGTGTTTTTGCCTCCTTTGGCAGCGCCGCGCTTTTAAAGGGAGCTGAGAATTTTACAGGAACGCGCGAATAAATGGAATAAATGGGATTTTTTCGGGCTTTTCCTCCCCTTTTATCCCCCCAAACTCCATAAAATCCCAGCGAGGCCGGAATTGGAGTTTTGGAGCTCTTTGTCCTGCCCGATCTGGGGGAAAAACAACAAAAACTGGGGGAAAAAAACCAACAAAAACTGGGAAAAACCAACAAAAAAAGTGGGAAAAAACCAACAAAAAACTCGGGAAAAACAACAAAAAAGTGGGAAAAGCCCCAAAAAGGCAGAGGAGGGTTGGCGGCTGCGGGCGGGAGTTGAACTTGTTTGGATTTCCCAGGAAAAACTTGACTTTGCATTTGGAGTTTGGGTATCCTTGACTGAGAGGGGCCGAGCTCGGGAATTGCCGATTCGGATTTCCGCCGAATTCTCGGGGTTTTGATTCATTTTTATTATTTTGTTATTTGATTTTTAGCGGGGAAAGGTTCTGGAAAGGTTAAAAGTTTGAAATAAGG